TTGTTTTTTTGAAATTCAGATAAAATTTTTAGACCATATAGAATTATTCAGAAAATCGATGTAGAATTTATATTTTTTTGTTATTTTTCGACAGTCCCTTTCTATTTATTATTATCCACCCCTATAAAATTGGCGAAATTTAATATTTCGGTTTACTTTATACTTCTGAAACTGTAAAAGCTTTCTGACACAAAATTACAATTTTTCTAACTCACCCAATTATGTATGTAGACTATTGAATTCAAGTTTTACTGTTGAATTAATTCAACTTGTGATGTTTTATCCCTAAAACTATGCAATCGAAAAAAAGATTTAATGACATTTTTTATATTTTGATGTTTTGAAAAATAGAAAAAAATTAAATAATTTAAAGGATTTATATATTCATATATTTACGTGAAATTGTACTGTAAAATACGATATTATACTAGATTTTCGAGATACGTTACGATACAGATTTCATATAGTATACAGATGTATGTACATAATATTATATGATTTTAAGTTGATTTTTGACTTCTTTCGAAATTCATGGCATTTAATCATATACGGTATTATAGAATTGAATTTGGTATTCTGATTTCATATACATATACATATACATACATATAATATATACATAGATTCATTTCGGACAAAAATCATAAACATTAATAGATATAAATTTTTAAAGGTGTATTGGACATTTTACATACTATTTTAACAGAAGAGCTATATTTTCAATAAATTTTTAATAAAATTATTAATTTAAAAATTCGAATATTCATATAGTCGAATCTGATTTATACAAGAATTCTAAAAGATCAAATAAACTAATCGTTCTCTATCCAGCGAAATCTATTTATATTATATTTATACATAGTTGTATAAGACAATTTTATAATTTACCCTGCAATATATACCAATCAATATTGTAAAATATACATACATACTTCTCTACAATAAATTTTTTTCAATTACATAAATATAACCTAGCACAACTCTAAAATAATTGAACATTTATTATAGTTTCAATGCTGATATATATACTATTGTTGGGAATAATGTTTAAATATAATCATGTATATATATATAAAGATATATGCTACATATTGATATATAAGGTTTGTATTTGCTTACAATATTTCTGTAAATGTATTTGATTATAAAAATATTTTATCCTGATCCTTGCGTACATATACATTCAGAATGGAATCAAACTTTATGAAACTGCATTTAATAATTGTATGTACACATAATATATTTCAAAACATATATACATATACATAATTTGATATTGATTTTAGGATGAATATGTACATAAATGTATGAATCTACAGTATTGGTCTAAAGTTCATTTTAAAAAACAAAATTGTTAATAAAATTTTTAAATTTACATATAGGCATATTTGGTTTTATGTATTGTAGATTCTAAGGGAACCGAGTGGGACAGGAGCATCCCCCCAAGCCACCGCAGCCATTTTTGACTTATTGTATTGTGGTTTTGTGTATATATCAAAGTCTATATGAAAGTACATCGTAAATATTTTTACGATATCATTTTACGATATTATTTTTACGATATTGTTTTACGATATTATTTTTACGGTATTAGATATTAATTTTTTTCAATTTGATTTTTGAATTAATTCAAAATTTTAGAACAAATTCCAATAAAATGGAGGTTCTGCCATTGTAGTTTGGTACAAAATACAAGCATATGTAAATATCTACTTATGTATAATTACAAATAAAAAAATTTGTTTTTGTGTCATAATTTTGCACTGCTGCAGAAATATTTTAATCAAACAATATTACGACGTGTGTTCACAAAAAGTTCAAATATAAAAATAAATTAAAGTGGTCTTTTATTTTTTTAAAATATGGTGTACAATATATAAAATATGGTATATATACACCACTCTCACACAAAAATATATTTTATGACTGTCGGTAAAGTTATTATACATACTTATATTTCAAAACATGACGAGTACAGCATATATGATTAACAAAAACTTTTTTTATTTTGCTTCAATGCTAGGTGGTAGTTCTGTTCTCTACTTCTACTATATGAGACTAGAGAGAAAAATTCAAGTGCAAAATTTCTTATTTGTCTTTAATTTTTTATTTTATTTAATTTTTTTCATGTTCTGTTTTTGTACTACATTTTTCATAATGGTTTTTCTCTTAACAATGAAGAGAAGCCTGATGGGGCTTTGATTTTTTTCTTTTTTTTTTTTTAATTTGTGGTTTTTTTTGCATATTTTTTGTTTTTTGTTTTCATTTTGCTGCTATGAGCTCTTCAATTGTTATGCTTCTATGATGCTTACTCTACTGCTGCTGCTGCTTTTTAACCACTACATTCGAAAATTTTATAAATTTCAATTTTTTTTTTCTTTAATTCTCATTGCATTCATTCGCATTCCATTCGCTTTATGTGAATTACTAACACTAATACAAATGGGAAAAATATACGATAATGTTAAAAAAATCGTTGCTAAAATTTTGAGATGTGAGAAGCTTTTCTTCTTTTGTTATTCAAGAAAAAAAAAAAAATATGAAAGGTTTTTTTTGTCCTTTTTAAACAAAACTAAAAAAAAAAAGAGAAAAACAATAAAATTGAATCCTTTTGTTGAAAAAGGACTTCATATTTTTTTTTTGAATTTCTGTTGTTAAATTTTGTCGTTTCTCGGTTTTTTTTTTTTCTTAAATTCGAATGTATAGAAAAATTCTTTTGCATTCATAACCAAATCTAAATTGAAAGGCATTTTTTTTCTTTTTGCTGATATTTCTTCATCTACACTGCATGAATGTTTTTGTACTAAATTTAAAAAAAAATGCATGCATTTATTATGTTTGTGCGTGTATAATAATCGAACCGGAGTTACCAAATAGAAAATTCAAAATTACCCAGATAAAATCTAAATTAGGCGTTTTTTGTTCTTATATTTGCAGTTTAACTTGAAAATGATAAATATTAAAGTTGACATAAGCATAAAAAGTGAGTCATTTACGTGATGAAAAATTTACAGCAAATATTTTTTTAAAATGAATTTTTGAATTTTCATAATTAAAACTTTAGATATTGTCTAATTACCTTAGAATTTATAATTTTTGTACTCAAATTCATATGAATTACTCAAAATTACCCTAAATTACCCAAAACAAAAATTACCCCAGGTTTTGCCAAAATTCTGAATCGAACACATACTTACGTATGTATTTACATGTGTATGCATAAAGACTTCAACTTGACTGTCATTCCTATTGTTTTTTTATTAATCTCTGAATATTCTGATTAATGCAGACCAGATTTTTATTTTTATTAAAGTGACATACTGAGAACTAAATTTCAATGAATCTAAAGGAAAATTGCCCGATTAGTTTTATGCATGAAAATTGTGAAAATATTCAGGATAATCATAATTTATTCTAATTCATAAAACATTGTTACATTTTTGTATGAGCTGAATGCATTTGAAAATTTTGTATGAACTGAATGCATTTTATAGAATCAATGTTACAGATCAGTATACGAATATGAATTGAATAATGTAGCATTCATTGATGATTTGACTCATATGTCATTATTAGCATAATTATTTAACATAATAATTAAAACATATTAATTAATTGTGCTAAGATAATTTGCAGTTATGTATGATCGAACAACTAAAGGAAATTGGAATTGAACAACAAGCTATGTGCTGATTTATTCCAATTGATTCAGATAATTATAACTACTATAAAACGTATTATAAGCTTAGTATACACATATTTTGCCCATACACATAATTTCTCTACCTCCTTATAATAATGACAATGTTTGGCTACAACTCTTTAAATAATACAAAACTTTCTGCAAGCAACAAAATTTTTGAGAATTTATGGTAAAAAAAAACGTGTGAGCCATCTCGGTTAATATGTCGAAAATTATACATTTTGTCAACCCTATATACAAAGGTGACACAATAATTTAATTTTGCAAAACGAAGATCTCATAATTCTGCAACACGGGCAAAAAATTTTGCCCAAAAATACTTTTCGTGTAAGCGTGTTCGACTGTATATAATACTTATATGTATTATGGATGTATATTTTTATTTACAATGTATTGGATTAAGTACATAATGTAATGTGCAATTGTAAATTTATTTTTAAGTTGAAAAATGCATTAAAAAATTGAAGACAAAACACCAACAAAATAGAAAGCATAAAAATTGGTTTTGCTTGTTAATTGTTTTCGTCATCCCACCCTTAGCCTTTCTAAAACAATATTACAAAATTTTTTTTTTTTTAGTTTTTATTTATTTTATAAAAACTCCTTTAGATTTCTTAGATTTACTTTTGAGTTTTTCAAATGACAAAATTTCTTGTAATTCAATACGAAAATTCTTTAAAACTTTAATTTGAAGAACAACTTAACCACAATTATTTTAAATATGAGTTGATCCTTTTTTATGTTAGAAGCTTCCAATTCACAGACAGGCTGGGCTGATTATAGAATAGAGTGAAATTAATAAGGGCATCATTGAAAATATTGTTGTAAATGTGCATATTTGTAGATAGTTATGATTATAATCATATTGCAAGTGATCTATAGCACTTGTATATTGTCGTTTAATAAGCTTTTCCTAAAATAAGTTTGCTTTGCTGAAATAAATAAGAAGTTTATTCACAAAAGTTTTTATTGTTCCTTAAAAAAAAATGAGAATATCCTTATCAAAATCGAAACGAGAACAAAAACAATGAAAGTATATGGGATGCGGAGAAGTAGACAGGGAAGATTTCTAAAAAGAATAAAATATTTTGCTTCTGTTCTGTAAGCGTCAAATACCCTTACAAGTCCTTCAATGAATTCAAAATCACGAATTATTGATTTTCTTATTTTGTTTATTTTTATGAAATCTAGAGGAATGAAATGATTTGCATTAAATTTAAAATTAAAAAAAAAAAGTCTTTAAAAACAAAGTAAAATGTTCTCTAATTGAAATTATTGTTTTTATTTTTTTTTAATTTTAGGTCGTGAAGATCTATCACCATCTAGTAGTTTAAATGGTTATGGTAATGACGGTTGCGACGCTAAAAAAAGTAAAAAAGGTCCAACACCAAGAATGCAAGAGGAATTATGTTTAGTTTGTGGTGACCGGGCATCCGGTTATCATTATAATGCTTTAACGTGTGAAGGATGTAAGGGATTTTTCCGACGTAGTGTTACCAAAAATGCTGTTTATTGTTGTAAATTTGGTCATGCTTGTGAAATGGATATGTATATGAGAAGAAAATGCCAAGAGTGCCGACTGAAAAAATGTTTAGCTGTGGGTATGAGACCTGAATGTGTTGTGCCCGAAAATCAATGTGCTATGAAAAGGAAAGAAAAGAAAGCACAAAAAGAAAAGGATAAAGGTGGCGGAGGTGGTGGAGGTGGTGGCGGTGGCGGTGGTGGTGGTACTGGTAGTAATATCAGTAATTGTGGAGGTAATGGAGCACAAATTGTATCAGCTGTTAGTACAACAAATACTCGTAGAAATGAAATATTAGAGTTAATGAAATGTGATCCGCCACATCCTGGATGTATGGTAAGTTATATATGTATATAAGAATGTTTGAAATGAAGAAAATTAAAATTTGTTAATTAGATTTTTTTTTAAATTTGTTTTGAAAAGTTTTTTTTGAAATATTTTTAATTTTTCTTTAATTTTGTAGCAATTACTGCCAGAAAAATTACTCGCAGAGAACCGTGCCCGTAATATACCCCCATTAACAGCAAATCAATTATTTGTCATATATAAGTTAATTTGGTATCAAGATGGTTATGAACAACCATCTGAAGAGGATCTCAAAAGAATAATGATTGTAAGTAATAAATTAAAATTAATTAAAAAATTATATGTGATAATTAAAATGTTTACGTTTTACTTTGACATATTGTAGAGTTCACCTGACGAAAATGAAAGTCAGCATGATATAAGCTTTAGACACATCACGGAAATTACAATTCTCACAGTACAACTGATTGTGGAATTTGCTAAAGGATTACCAGCTTTTACCAAAATACCACAAGAGGACCAAATTACCTTATTGAAAGTAAGTGAAAATTTTTATTATACTTGATATTTTTATTATATATGATATTATATTTGTAATTTTAGGCATGTTCAAGTGAAGTAATGATGTTACGTATGGCACGCCGATATGATGCTGCATCAGATTCAATATATTTCGCTAATAATCGTTCATATACACGTGATTCATATAAAATGGCCGGTATGGCTGATAATATTGAAGATTTATTGCATTTTTGTCGTCGTATGTACTCAATGACTGTTGATAATGTTGAGTATGCCCTCCTCACTGCCATTGTGATTTTTTCTGACCGACCTGGTCTTGAAGAAGCTGAACTAGTCGAAGCTATACAAAGTTACTATATTGATACGTTACGTGTATACATATTAAATAGGCATGGCGGTGATCCAAAATGTTTAGTATTTTTTGCAAAATTATTATCAATATTAACTGAATTAAGAACATTAGGCAATCAAAATGCTGAAATGTGTTTCTCATTAAAATTAAAGAATCGTAAATTACCAAGATTTTTAGAAGAAATATGGGATGTTCATGCAATACCACCATCAGTGCAATCGCATTTACAAGCAACACAAGAACAACAACATCAACAACAGATGGCTGCAGCAGCGTCAGCTGCAGCACAAAATGGTGGTGTTATTGGTAATACAGGTCTTATCGGTGGTAATAATATAGGCAGTGGTAATAATGGTGGTGGAAGTAGTAGTAGTAACAATAGCAATAGTGGTATGATTAGTGATGATGGAGAAAATAGTAGTAGCCGAGGTGCTACAAATATGGGAGGTAATTTTGGGAGCGGCACAACAGCAACAACAACAACAACAAATTTAACTGCCGCATAGCAATAGTTTTAAAGAATATAAATTAAATATTAAAAATTATATATTAAAAAAAAAAATATTAATTATTATTATAAAATATTATATTAAAATTAATAAGAGATAAAACAATGAAAATGAAAAAAAAAAAATAAATTTAATACAAATATTAATTAATTAATTTTACAAAAATTAAGAAAAAATTAATAAAAAAAAACAAAAAACATGCATATACAAAAAAAAAATAATTATATAAAAAAATTTCATTTTATAACAATTTTTTTTTTTTTGAAAATCAAAAAAAAATATTTTCAAATAATGGATAAAATTACGTTTAATTTCTTTTTTTAATTTAAATAAATTAATTAATAAACAAAAAATTAATAATTATTAACTATTATAACACTTTCATATTATTATTAAATGCATACGTATATTATATTATATTTAAATAAAAAAAAACTATATATTTAAGTGCACACACAGACACACGTACATATTATATATATTATAATTATTATTATTTTCATTATTATTATTATTTTTATTGTTACTATTATTATTATCACTATAATTAAAATTATTACTATATTATTATTATTATTATTAATATTACTATATATATATATATATGTATATATATATATATATATATATATATACAATCAAAAAGTAAAATAAATTTAAATATTTTAGAAATAATGTAAAAAATTTAATAAAAAAAAATCAATTTATAAATAGTAGTTTTTAAAAATAGGTTTTGTAAATTAATTTTTTTTACAATTATTGTTTTTTTTTTTTTTATTTTTAAATATATCTCCATAAGTTTTTTGATATATTAATAAGCTAACTAGAAATAATAAAAACTTTTAATAATAAACATAATGATTAATTAAAAAATAATTAAACATTTTTTTTTCTATAAAAAATAAAATAAAAAACAAAAAACTCATATAACATACAATTTTCCTATTAGATTATATTATTAAAATATTTTGTATATAAAAAAAAAAATTTTATGTTTAATAATGTAATTTTGTATAACAAATTTGAAATGAATTTATTGAAAATAATAGTATATAATTTTGATTAAAATTAAATTCGATCAGTCTAATTGCAAATATTTTATATGAATTCTTTATTCCTTCTTCCTTATAGAGGGAAGAACAGATGATTTTCTAAGTTATTCCTAGATATAATTTAATGTATGAATAATATGAAAATGCTTTGTTGATCCCTTTCTTATGATATCAGAACATTTACATTACCTTTACAGCAATATTTAGATTTTAAATTCATATATAATTAAATTTGCATTTGTTGTATTGCACATAAATTTCTTAAGTTTTGGTATGATAACTAATCCTTGTAGCTTGCATACTTTAAATCAGGGAATTTATGAAAAATGATACATATCTATTGCTGCAATTATTTTATAAAATTTTTACTTCATTCATCTTACTTTAAATTAATCTGTATTAAATGATGACAATTAAACTTAAATGCGGCTTTCGTTAACAGAAGTATAGATCTTATTAAGTGCTGAAATTCTAATCAGAGCTTATGTATTAAAAATAATTTTATTCCGTGTATTGGTCTTTAATTCAATTAACTTTTATAATTTTAAATTATTATTTGATTCAAAAGCTAACAAATATTAAAAGGAAACTAAGAAATATTAAAAAAGTTATTCGAAAAACTATACAAAAAATAAATAGTAAACCGTGTATTTCTGAAAAATATTCGAATAACCTGAACAAAATTACATTATTAAATGAAGATCTTTTGTTTTTCCAAACCATTTTAGTAACGTTTATTTCATTTTTCTTTTATTTTTTTTTTTGCATTTTTGTTTTTGGATTAAATGAGATGTCATTTTTTATTTTTCTTTTCTTTTTAATTAGCAGAACCTTGTATATAGAAATTTAAATATTGAATTTCAATAAAACAAATATGCTTAAATAAGATTTTTGTACAAAATGAAAAAAAAAAAGATTATAATAAATTATTTTTTTTTTTTGTTCTTAAAAAAATATCCAATGAATAACTCATATAAAATAGTACATATAACGTAAAACAAAGATTTAAAATATTTAAATATAAAAAGAAAAATTTATTTTCGAAAAACACATGCATGATAAAAGTTAAAAAATTAATAAAAGTACTGTTGTTAAATTTTGTTTTAATATTAAATGCTACTTACATACTTAATTATATAAATTATATCTATAAATATTCAAAAAGGAAAAAAAAAGATTCTAATGAATATCAAATATTTTTGTTTTTTCTTCCCTTTAAAATTTTATTAATATTGTCACACTTAAAATCTTGTAGATAAGAAAAAAAATATATATGTAGTTTATTATTTTATACAAAATATATACTGTTTTTTTTTTCTATTTCTTCTAAAAATTTATTACGTAAGAAATTACATGCAATAAATACAAAAATTTTTAAATAAAATATTAAACCAAAATAATAAATTGATCAAAAATGAATTACAAACAAAATTAAAGAGCGTGTAATTATGTAAATGAATGCCGAATTCGTGTAAAAGAAAAATTAGATTTATAATAAGATTATTAAAAAAAAAGAAAAACAAAATACGAATGTTAACAATTAATTTTTAAAATTAATTTCTTTTTTTTTTTAAATGCTTAACATATCATTAATATTTTTTCTTTTAAATTTTAAATTTATTTAGCATGATTAATCGTTTTTTAAAGTCTTATCTAGATTCCTAGGTTCCTTTATAATAACAGATTTCATTGCCAAAATATAAGCCACCTTATTTTTTTTTTTGCACACACGCAAATGTCTCCTAATAATAATAATATCAAATGAAAAATAGAATTGATACTATCATGTATAATATGAGTTCAATTCTCTGGATGGCCAACATTATAAATATTAAGTGTCTCCAAAAGCCTATTTGAAATTTGTTCAACACAGACATTACGATTGTATGCATTTTCATTTGGAAGATACTCGATACCATATGTCTGAGACATTTATTGGTTGTGTAAAAACACAGGTCATCGCTTTGCCTTATTAGATTTTATTTTTGCGTTTTTCGCCATTTCGTTCAACTTTATTTCCAATTTCGTTTTGTTCAGTTTATTAATTTCACAAATGGAGAAGAGATATTAAAAATGTGATTAAAATTAATTTTGAATCATGTTTTCTGAATAAAAGAAAAATTAGTATATCTACTGCTTTTTTTATTAATTATATTTGAGTATTAATTTGAATTCAGCAAATTTTTTTTCATCTTTATGGAACAAAAACCATTTTAAAAATTAAAAAAATACAAAGCAACAAATCCTTTTAAATGCAATTTGTAATTTCAAATATTTTTTCTCATATAAGTATATGGCCTAAGTATTTTTAAATTGTAGAAAAACAAAAGATAGAAATTTAATTTATGGTCAGTTTTAATAAATTATTGGAACGATTATGTTTTAATAGCAAAAAAAATTAAAAAATACAATTTAATTGAAACTAATATTTTACAATATGTCGAAAATAAAATTATAATAACGCTGGACGTTATACATAATAACAATTTGTATTTTAGTATTTCTCATTTCAATAGTAACGATTTTTATAAAATATAGTGTCCTTTTTCCTAATTTTACTTTAATTTAATTTTTTAGTAATTTTGAATAATATCATCAATTGCCAACCGAATTAACCTCTAGTATGTATTTCGTTTTGAATATTTCAGCCTTTTTACCTATGAAATTTTATTGGTATATTTAAAGTTTTTCCAACTCAACTTAAAAATAAAATATATAAAGAATGTCTTACTTTAAAATTAAATTTATATATGTAAAAATACTTTAGAATTCGTATGAATACTTCAAAATTAATTTATGTTTTAAAAATATTTTCGAAAAAAAAAATCTTTTACAAAGTTTTAAATGCCACCACAAATTTAATTCGATATAAAATAAATGATTTTTTACTTCATTTGAAAAGCAATGATTCGATATATTTTAAAAATTACACCAATATCGAATTAATCAATTAAAATCGAAATACCTTTAAACTACATTAAAGTTTCATTTGACGTTTATTTTATACTAGAGTCTATAATTATTATGTTGTAAAGGTTTAAACGTTGAAAATTATACTCATTCAAAAACGTATTAAATTGACCTTTATGACATGACAAATTGTGCTTCAAAATTATTCCACAATTTTATTTGAGCTTGTTACAATTTTATACATTTTACTTACGAACAGTTTCAATTGTAAATTATTATATTTTCAAGATTAAGGAAAATTTCCCCCATACTCTTTGTTATAATCTCATCTAGTTTTATAATTGCAAAATTATTTTCATAATTAAAATACAGAAGAAACAAAAAAATTAAATAATAAGAAAATAATTGTGTGTTTTTAATATTAATTTTTCATTTTAATTTAATAATAATAAAATAAATAATAAAAATATTAATAAAAATATTAATAAAAGTAATAATAATAATAATGATAATAAATAATAATAAATAATTAAAAAAATTTTAAATATTTATCAAAAATGGCTGTATAAAGACAAAAGGGAAATTTTAACTTTTCAAAAATTGGGCCTTATTATTTATACAAAAACAAAAAAAAAAAAAAAGAAAAAAAGGGAAAACGTTTAATAATATAAAAGAAAATAAAATTTAACAAATAAAAGAAAAACTCTTGTGAAAAATTAATTTAAATAAATTTTTTTTTTGTAGCTCTACTTCCGTTTTTAACATCTTTTGTAATTATATTTTGCACGATTTCTATTCTTTCTTTCTTTTTTTTTTTAATTAACATTTTAATTTTAATTCTCGGAAATATTAGCTTTTATAATTTTATAACTACATATATATATATATATGTATTTATATATATATATATATATATATACGCATATATAAAAAATAAGACTAGACATATACATACATATACAACAAAATTATAAATATATATTTCTTTTTTTAATATTAAAATTTAATTTAAAACAATAATTTAATTGATTATTTAATTAAAATATATGATTAATTAAGGGTAATTTTTTTTTTTCAAATATTAAATAATATTGTACGTATAAAAAAATTAATATATATATATATATATATATATAAAATGAGAATATTTCATAATATTA